AAATATTTCTGTAAACAGTCACTGGAAGATGCTACCAGTTTTCTAAGATGTTTGCTGCTGATAACACCAAGCTTACGCTTCCTGGGGGCAGTTTCTTTAGCGAAAGTGATACTGAATTGAAGGAAGGCAGCCATTAGCTCCAAATATCCCAGCGTTCCTGGCCTGGGGTTGAAAGAAACTAGCCATTTAGATATTGATGGAGACAGGGAAATGGTGTCATTGTTCAGCAAATAGACTTCACAAGGAAGCAGCACTTACGGGCCCTTTGTGTTCAACTGGCCCCAAAGTACCCAGATACACAGACATTACAGAGACGGGAAAGCTGTGTTTCTGTTTCCTGCGTTTCCCCAGGCTCACCGACACCGAGGACGACACACACTGCCCAGTGTGAGAGTCCGTGTGGACCTGAGGATTTCAGCCTCTGCAGAGGCAAGTTCAGGGCTTCGGCTCCAGATCCCGTTCTGTCCCTAAGCCGTGTGACCTCGGGAAGCCATCACACAAACTGGCAGACCAGCGTCATGACAGATTCATGGTCAGCAACTTCGCATGGTCACTCCACCCTCAGGCCATCCTGCTGTTTCTCTAGGGGCCTTGGTTGTGAAAAGGATGTCACCCCTGGTCCTTGATCCTCCACCTTCTCCATCCCCCCTCTCCCCATCCCTGTCACTTTGTCTCACTTCTATCGAAGGCCTGCTCTGTCTTCCCGTGCTCTGGTTACCCCATCTTTACCAAGGAGGTTGCTCCTGTGTAGCCCCTCCCTCCGTAGAATCAGTTCCTCCCCCTCCTACAGGTCACTGTCATCAGCATAGAGACCCAATTTCACATCCTCATATTTGGACAAAACCCTCTCTCGCCCCGTCTATTCCCAGCCAATGCCCCATTTCTCTGCGTCCCTTTGCACTGAAACTTCCTGAAAAGTTCCCGTGGTTGCTCTCTCCCATTCGTTAGCTCCCGCGTGCTTGTCCAGCCATTCCAATCCAGCTTCCGTATTCATTCTGCCACTCAAAAGGCTCTCATCAAGGCGGCCCCAGTCTCCTTGTTGCCAAATCTACTGGACACTTCTCTGTCCAACCATTGGGCAATATTTCACACAGGCCAACAATCTTTCCTTGAAACACCTCTCTCTTCTCCTGGCTCCTGACAGCTCTCTCGCCTGCCTTCCTCCTTCCTCCTGCTCAACTGGCCCCAAAGTACCCATGATACACAGACATTACAGAGCTCTGTCTATGTATCATTCCTCCTCTCTGCCCAACTTCCAGTACGGGAGCCTCCCCAGGCCCGGTCCCCCTCCCTCTGGACATGTCTGAACTGGAAATCAGCATGGGGCACATGGTACTGGGTACTCAGTACTCCATGGTCCAAGCGCACCCCCAGCCTGCTGAGGTTCCAGGGAGGGAAACAGTGTCCGCCTCTCAGTGGGAGGAGCAGAGAATCTGCACCCAGCGGCCTGCACCCAGAAGTCCTCCTGCACTTCTCTCGCCCACCACAGCTGATCCTTCAGCAAGCACTGAGTCCCACCTTCCGAACAGGTCTTGAATAGGCCCGCTTCTCTTGATTTCCGCGGCCACCAGCCTCCGTCAAGCCTCCGCGTCTCTGGTCTTACACTGGGCTCCTCCCTGGCCTCTCTGACTCCACGTTGGCCTTGTAATCTGCAGAGCAGCCGAGTGGGCTGTTGCGCTTGTGCAATCTCCCCGCAGTCATTCCAGCTGCTTGCTGCTGGCCTCGGGGCCCCTGCCTGATGGGCCCCAGCCCACCTCCCACCCCCCCTTGCTCCTCCGCCCCCTTGTTCACTGTGGTGCAGCCACTCTGGGTTTTCTTCTGTTTCTCAAACAGACCAACTTGTGCCGGGCCTCGGGCTTCCGCTCATGCCGACCAGGCTTCCCGGCCCACCCTCCCCTGGGCTCCAGGAGTGGCTGCCTCCTCGGCCTGCAGGTCTCAGCTCAGATGTCATCTCCTCTCTGAGACCTCCCAGGCCACCTCCACGCTCCAGGCTCCCAGGCCATGTGCACATCTTCACAGCACTGCGCACTGTGGTATCTCTGCCCATGCATTTGTCTGTCTCCCATTCATTTGCAGACTTTACGACAGCGGAGCCCGTGTCTGTGTGGCTCACCCCTGAACACTCAGCCCCTAGCACAGAGCCCGGCACACAGTGAATGCCGGGCAGATATGCGCAGAATGAATGAGAACATCAGTGAGTAAGGCATGCCACCGCTCTGTAGGACGCACTTCCATGTGGCCCCTAATCTTATCTGCCGCAGGCCCCAGCATGCTCCCGCAGAGCAACAGCCTGCCTGTCACGCAGCCCTGCGGGCAGCACTTTTATAAGGCAACCACCCGACAGCCCCAGGAGCCCGACATGTCATGACATGGCCCAACACCCACACGGTAGGCCTGGCCCAGATCTCACTCTCAGTCCCAGGGACCACTGCTCCCAGTGCTAACCAGTGGGACGCAAGAGACTCCCAGCCTGAACTGGAGCGCCATTTGGGACCGAAGCATTTGAGCCTCCAGGCCTGGAGTAGTGGGACCTCGGTCACAGACCTGGGTTGAGCCAAGGACAATGGGTCTTTGTCTTCCCAGGAGGCTCTGCTCAGCTTCCAGGGGAGAATGGCCAGTTCTGAGCACCCAGAGCAGCTGTCAGGGGGGAGGGGGAGCCCGGGACCTCTTGAGAGAGAAAGGAAGCTTGGCCTGTGCTGTGACCTTAGGCATGTCACGGCCCCTTTTCAGTTTCACCCCCCCACCACCTTTGCAGAAAGAAAAGAGCATGAGAGGACCCCAAGGGAGCATCCGGGTACAGATGGGGACTGTGAGGCAGCACAGTCACCGCTGAGCCACCGCCTGCCCCCCAGGAGCGAGCCTCCCCATGAGTGAGTCCTGCTGCGGCTCCTCACCTGTTGCTCTCTCTGCCTCAGGCTGTTGGACCAGACAATGAATGAGTCACCAGGAAGGAGGAGGCCATGGAAAAGGAAAGTGGGGTTCCAGCCCCCCTCCCGGAGCCCTGCCCTTTTCCTCTCCTCTGGCCAGGCAGCCCAGTGAGTCACGAGGTTCCAGTGGGTTCAGCGCCAAGCTCCGTGCTGAGAAGGGACCGCCCCCCCCCTTACACACACACACACACACACACACACAAGCCATGCTTGGCTGTGTGATCTCTTGCTCTGTGTCCCTGCCTCCTATGCACAGACGGACAGACAGGCAAGGACAGGCGGGCAGCCCAGACCCCCAAACAGACACAGACACCTCCACAGACACACAGACACCCAGTGAATAGGCAGACAGACAGGGACAGTCACACAGCTGTGCACACAGACACACCTGCCAACAAGCACACACATACAGGCACCAGTACACTGGCACACACAGGCAGACCCATGACCAGCACAAGGGCAGCCTCCAGGCAGATGCACAGCACAGAGCAGACAAACAGACTCAGGCAGACACACACACACACACACACACACGCACACACACACACAACACAGACTTAGAGGGGTGGCCTTCAGAGTGTGATTTCAGGCAAAGGACGGGCCAAATGTCCCCGCTGGGCCAGCCCTCAGTCCAGGAACGCACTGAAACGGCCTGTGGAGGTGGACATGCCTCCCCAGCCGATGTGACCTTTCCCAGGAAGGAGAGGCCGCGTGCAGAAAGGTGGCTGGAGGTGAGATCATGGAAAGGGACTTTTCAACCAGGAAGGTGTTGAGGCCTGTGTCGGGTGACTAAAGGTGACTGGAGGGAAAGGAGCCGAGTGGTGGCAGGCAGGGGGATACAGCTGACCTCTGAGCCTCAGTTTCCCACCGAGCCTTAGTCCCAGGTCCCCGCAGGGAGCAGATGGGCCGGCTCCTGGGTGTGTCAGGGCCAATGCTGGGGCTGCAGGACAATATTCCCCCATTCTCCACCCCGTCCCCCCACCCCCCTTGGGCAGGATCCCCTTGGTGACTCACTGCCCAGTCCCCTGTCCCCTGGCAGGGGGTAACCCAGTCACAGATGCCTGTTTGTCCTTGTCCCCCCCTCCCCACCCCCCACCCCTGCTGGCCAGCTCAGCATGCCCTAGGCTGGGGGAGGGATGTGGGGAGGTCATCGAGAGGGCAAAGGGAATCCCCAAGCTTGGTGCTCAGTCCCACCACCCCCGCCCTTTCCCCAGGGGCAGCTTTGAGGCCCGGGCCTGGGGAGGGGGACCTGTTCAGGTGTAGTCTCTCCCCTCCTCCCTGCAGTTAGAGGCCTCTGGCCCGCACCCAGCGCCTGGAAGACAGGGGGTTGTGCAATGGGGAGGTAAAAGGTGACAGCGGGCCTGGAGGGACAGAAGCCCCATTGTCTGGGGCCCAGGCCAGCCTGGGCAAAGGAAGGGTTTATGCCCCGGGGCAGGAAGGAGGGTTCTGGGCAGGGGGAGGGCACCAGCTGTCAGGACTCGTGCCACTGGGCCCTGGAAGAGAACAGGTGCCAAGCAGGATGCCCTCAGGGTTGGTAGAGGGGGCAGACCCTAAGAGGGGTTGTAGGGCAGGGCGGCAGCCCCTACCCCGCACCCGCCTCAGCCCTCAGGAATCTGCAGCCCTCCTTGTCCGGATTCCAATCATTCCGAGGAGGGAGATGGCCGTGGAGCGGTCCCAGGCGCGGGGCGGGGTGTGCGTGGCTGCTTTTACTGCGGAGGCTGCCGAAGGGGGCCTGAGAGTTTTGCCGCGGGCACCCTCCCCATTATTCCCCAAACTGCGGTGCGGCGCTCGGAGCTCCCCTGCTCCGCGGGAGCCCGAGACCCAGGCTGGGAAGTCCTCACCAGTGTCAGGCCACAGTCCTTTCCCTTTCAGCTGGAGTTCCGCCCCTAAGGGAGCAGCTTCCCCGAGGCCAGGCGAGCACAGCCTCGGGCTCCCCGCGCCCCGCGCCAGCCCCGCCACTGAGCTACGGGGCGGCCCAGGTGCCGGCGCGGCCCCTCTCCCGCGGA